AGATGACAAGATAGAGTAATTTATGCCAAAACGAACTGTGAAAACTGCAGGTTTCTAACTCTTACGGTTTAAACGCTATCTAGCCTCATTTAGAGAGCTGAAATCGTGATTTTTTTCAAAAACAACTGATTATCTCGAAAATGGTAAGTTTTAAACGCCATGTACTTACATTTAATAAACTCTACCTAATATTAACTCAGGAATGCAAAAACGCAATAATATACAGGGTGTTCCATTTAAAATAACAAAGTTATATAGCGCCAATGCGAAATGTAACACCCTGTAAAGCTAAACATTTTTTCTGTACATGGGCCACATGATTCCAGGCAACTTTTAAAACAATTTCTTTATAAATTTTACAGTTGCAGTGTTACAGAAGAATCCCTCTTAGATGGAACACCCTGTATATGTTTAGGACCAATAAACGTGTTTCTTTAATTCTTTACAAAATTTTAATCACTTGGAACAGAAAAACGGTTTGATTCATTAACTTGTCAATTTACAGGGTTGTTGTCGGCAAATTGAGTTGTAAAAATTTCTCTCAATATTATAAATATTTGAAAATTAACGGTAAATTTTCTAAAAAACTATAAAAAGTCATTTTTTTTAATTCCAAATTGATGTACTTCAAATTGGTGCCAAGGATGAAAAAATTCTTGGCAGGTACAATAATTTCTTGCAGAGAAATCGATGATTAAAAACAAAAGTGTTATTTTTCATTCAACCATCGATATTTCGGCGACCAATGGTCACACGGAGACCTTTCAAAAATCAAATTGAAGCTGAATAAGCAAGCTAATTGACCTATGTAATGAATTAGTGTGAAAAAATTTTCCTGTCTTTGATAAAAAAAAAATTGGAATTTTTTTTTCTCGAGGTATTTATCTTATCTTAATGATCTTGAAGCTATATGTATACTTGTCACTATTAATTAGAGTCAGACTGATCATTTCCATTTGGATGTTCTTCCAAATTCCAAATTTGAAAGTGACTAAAATCATAATCTGTTTTAAATATATGAATTGGTTGATTATGAGTTAAACTAGTACAATTTCTTAAATCGGATTATAAAAGCTTACAAATCTTCAAAATTTTCTTGAATACTACTTTTATTTTATATTTATTTTAGTTACTTAATTTCACTTATTAAATATTGGTATTCTGTAGTTCTAATACAGTTTGTGGAATTTTACACATGTAAATTGAAATTAAAAATCTAATGTTACCTCTCACAACACCATCTTTAACAAATTAACAAGGGACGTAGTTACTATAAAAAGTAACGTATTTTTCGAATAACAGCATAATTGGATATTAATTATGCCCACAAAAAAATATAACAAGTAATAACCGCATTTTAATGGGACAGATGTAAATGAAGATGTCTGTAAAGGTAACGAAGTTGTGGTAGAATTTGAATAGTGTCGGACCGAATTCTTTCACGCTGCCTGTCAGTCAACAGGTAATTTGGCGGAACTGGACAAATGTCCAGTGGGCCATCGCTCAAAAGTGACAATTAATGAGCGTCCCTGAATTGTGCGGCGTTCACGACTTAGGAACGGGGAGCCTTGTTAAGTTGCTAGGATACGTAATGTGGTAGTTAAAAAGCATCAGTTTGATTAATGGTTGTATTTCATTACTTAGTGAAACTTACTAAATGAGGAGCTTTTTTTCTTTTGGGTATGGCCACAACCTGGCACAATTAAGTATTCATTTTTCTTCCTATAAAATAAGGAAACACTTATGTACCTTTTAAGGATCTACATATACAGGGTGTTCCACTTAATAGGGATTCTTCTGTAACACTGCAACTGTAAAATTTATAAAAGAATGGTTTTTATAAATGTTAAAACGTTATCTCAAATACTGAAACCTACATTTAATAATCTTACGAGTTGAATAATTTTTTTTTTCAAATCAATTACCCATATTAATTGCCATGGGTGAATGCAAAATTGAATGCCCTTTCGACTGATATAGCTTGTCCATACTTATCTCTAACCGTTTTCCAGAAAAATCAGGTTCTTTTCCAAAGTCCGAAAAAGTGGCTATTTAACAGCTTCAAGATGGCCTTGCAAAACCACTTTTCTCTCACATTTTATCAGGCCTGGGACTGACAGAGTCAATATTTACTGACATGTTTAAAAAGTGGTTTGACAAACAAGAGTAAACCACTAACAACAACTAAAACAAAATGCAAAACGAAACAAACTGAAACTCGGACCACAACAAGGAGAAGAATACTTAGACCGCTGATTTACATCAATTGCTCGAAGTATTAATACACAAACGAATTCGGTTTTTAAGACTGCTCAACATTGGTCAGCATGTCTGGCGTAATTTCTTGAAAGGCTACTGTAATGCGCTTACTTTTTATAAATCCCCATAAAAAGAAGTGGCAACTTGTCATATCTGGATACCTTGAAGGCCAACTCACTGGTCCCCCGCGCCCAGTCCATTTGTTGGGAAAAGTTTCGTGTAAAAACTGACGAACCGCAGCGGTATTGTGAGGTGGAGCACCATCATGTTGCATCCACATTCTTCGAAGTGTAGCTAAAGGAATGTCGCCTAACACATCTTCTAGATTGTTTGTTAAAAAGTTTAAATAAACTGCTTCAGTTAGATGCTGGTCAAAAAAGAATGGTCCAATGACATGGGTTCCCAAAATTGCTCCCCACAAGATCAAAGACCATCGTTGGCTATGAGTTGTCCGGAATTGGTGAGGATTTACTGTGTCATAATAATTGCAATTATGAACGAAACCATTTTCATGAAAAGTAGCCTCATCGGAGAACATGACCCGTTTAAAAAAAATCATCTTGATTTAAGATCTCAAGTCTGCTTTTAGTAACTCTTGGTGTAATTAGATGCGATAAGGATGTGCTGTGCTGTTGTGCTGTGCTTTTGTAAAATCCTATGTATCGACGTTGTACTAATACAATTGCAAGGCCTTCTTGATGCTGTTACATAGCTACTTCTTTGGAGTTTAGAAAAGGACCTCATTTTGGAAAACGGTTAGAGATAAGTATGGACAACCTTATATAGTCTGGGAAGCACCGGACTATGATACGAAAGTAAATTATTCTCTAACGACTCGTGGTGGACTATTGTAATTCTTTTATCGTACTATGTTGATATTTTTTATACGTAATAATTTACAAAATTTATCTTAAGATTTAAGGAATTATTTACACGAATCAAAGAAAAATATAAATATTGGAAAGTAATTTTTCTTTTACTTAATCTGTCATTTCTTTCGCCAAAAAAAGAATTTTATAATGGTGATAAGCTTTATACACGTCAGTATTCTAATATTTCAAATAAAATAATTTAGAACCGTTTCGCACTTACTGTAAATGATATATAGGGCAGACTTTGGTAATTTGTAAAGAGACTAATAACTTCTGGTTGTGAGTCACTATGAGTAAAAGTATTTACTAGCTTCTATGCATGCGGGACAATTATTAATTTCTATTTGTTTTTGCAGTACTCCTTCGCATCGCAACCTGAACCTCAACAATACTCTTCTGCTGCTGACGTTTCCTCCTTCAGCTACTCGAGCCCTGTAGTGTCTTACAACAACCTAGGCTTCCTTCATCAGATCATTGGAAAAGGAGCTGGTGCTCAACAGCAACAACCACAACAACAGCAACAGCAACAGGTTTACTCAGCAGCTCCAAGGCCAAAAGTACAATATACTTCTTCCCCAAGCCAATATTCAGCACCCCAAAACACCTATGACATTTCAAACGCTTACCAAGGCGTAGCTCAGAAAGCTGCATATTCTGAATCTCCTCAAGCTCAGTACCAAGCCCAAGCACAAGCCCAAGCTTATGCTCAAGCTCAGGCCCAAGCAGCACAAGCACAAGCTTTGGCTGAAGCCCAGGCCCAAGCTAAAGCTCAATCTCAACAGCAACAGTCTCAGGCTCATGCTATTACCTTCCAAACTTCATCTCCTGTAGCTCAGAAGCTTTCCTATTCCTCAGCCCCTAGCTACCAAGCCATCCAAGCCTTGCAAAAGCCTTCCGCACAAGTGAATTATGTGGGTTCTCCACAGCAGGTCGCTTACAGTGCACCACAAGGTTCCTCTCAAGCTTATGAAACCGCTGCCCATTCCGCACCCCAAATTTCCTATTCTCAGCCAGGTGCTCAACCCCAGTATTACTCGGTGCCCCAAGGTGCTAAGTACCTCCGAGCAGGAATCACTTACGCCCAGTAATTTTTTTATTTTTTTTTAGCTTTAGGTGACTATTTCTTGAATCTTTTGTAAATATTTTTTTTCTTTTCTGAGAAAAGGCAGGCTGTATATCATATTATTGTTTTTGTATAAGCGCGAATAAATGTAACGTTTTCTATATTCTTTGTATGATTTTCCTATTTTCTTAACCTATAGAGGTTGAGTACAGTTGAGTATCTACGATTTACTGAATACTCACGACTCACTCACGAATTACAAAAAATGGTTTCAAACGAAACTTATACCAAAATTTCTGCCATATTAATAATTGACATTGCAGCATGTCATAATGTGCAAGCTAAAACATATGAAATGGAGCAATTGTTATTAGACAAAGAAATTCAACCTTGACAGTTGGACAGGTACCTTTCACTAACGAATTCTATTTGCAAATATTGAATTCTAAATACATATATGAGTGGTAAATGAATACTGAATACTGTCGAATAAAAGTATTCAGTACCTACTTGAATACCAATTACACAAATATTGTATTGAATGCCACTCATGAATACTTTGTATTTGAGTAATACTCAATTCGGACACTGAGGTGAGTGTGTTGAAAAAAGGAACCGAAAACGCTAATATACTACAAGCCCATCGGAAATTTTTAAGGGGTCATTTGACCCAGCATGAATTACATATAAATCATTACTATCACATATAACAATAACTTTAGAAACTATGCCGTCAATTATTGTTGGTACAGTTGAGTACACAGGTAAGCTAAACCTGTCCACCAAGGGGGGTGATTTCGGCAAAACAATTTTGTAAGGCATTTCTAAGGTATGTAGGTTATACAAAAAGAATGAACCTCGACCTAATGCCGTAAAAAATAGCAATACCGGAAGCCAGGAAAATTTTTGATTTTCTAAAAATGTTGGCCCGGTTTTTGGTGATTTACTACAGTACGGCATTAATACCGCAAATTTCGGATTGATACGTAGATAACTTTTTTAGTGACGCCGTACATATCTGCTGATACAGGGGTTAGAAATGCATGGCGTAACCCTCTATTTTAGTCCCCATTGTTTCAGAAACCATAAGGGTCTGAATATAGGGGTTTGCATCCGGGGTTTCTCACTCCTGTATCGACAAATATGTACAGCGTTACTGAAAAATATTGCTATATGATATTGTAAGTCTTATTACAGAAAGGCCGTACAGTAGTAAATAATTTGTGTTAAGGAGAAAATAGTAGTAAAAATAAAATCAATTCTTGCAAGTAATACTTATTTCCAAAACTATATTTCAAGCCATTTAGAACCATTTAGTACGACATTTTGTTTTTGTTGATTATTGCTGTCAGTATTAACAAAATATATTATTGCCGTACAAAAATTTTTCACTGTGAAATCCTACCTTTCAGAGGGAAATTAATTTTCCTATAGTAAGCACATGTTTCATGAAAAATGTACGGCATCAGCAGATACGTACGGCGTCACTAAAAATGTTATCTACGTGTCAATCCGAAACTTGCGGCATAAATGCCGTGTTGTAGTAAATCAACAAAAACCGGGCCAAAATATTCAGAAAATCTAAAAATTTCCTGGCTTCTGGTATTGCTATTTTTGTACGGCATTAGGTCTAGGTTCATTTTTTTTATAACCTATATACTTTAGAAATGACGTACAAAAATGTTTTGCCGAAAACCACCTCCCTTGGTGGACAGGTTTAGCTTACCTGTGTACTCAACTGTACCAATAAGTATTGACGGCATAGTTTCTAAAGTTATTGTTATATGTGGTAGTATTGATTTATAAGTAATTCATGCTGGATCAAATGACCCTTTGAAAATTTCCGATGGGCTTGTAGTCTATAATGACGACTTTTAAATTTTCTTTTACAAAATGCAAATCAAATCTGATATAGCTGCAATATTTTCAGTGACATTTTAAAATATAAATTTAGTTTAGATTTAGAAATATATCATTTTCGATAAAAAAAAATTCTACCTCTTAAAATGTGAATGTCTTACCTTTTTTATGCCCCTTAACCCTCGAATTTATGATATCTGTTCTTAAAACTTTCTGTATATTTGATTATATCATGTTGGTGTTATTGTGACTTAATAGGGAGGCAGTTTCACTGTTCATATTCAAATCTGCGTGGAATTCAAATTTGATGAATTATGGAAAGGGTACAAAATATAATGCATTTGAAAGCAAATTAATTGCAGCTTGCAAATTTAAACGTCATTTGAAAAACATAACTCGAACAATGCCTCTAGCTGCATACATTTGCCCGAGATTCTCCTATTACTTCATTCTGTAGATCCTCTCTTGCTCGCTCATACTTGCTAATCTTTTAATCCTCGATTTCCCATTTCATTTCATTATAATAATTCCTATATCCTTTCCAAAGTAATCGGGATTATACGTCATATGTGCAAGGTACCAAGTTTCACCATTACATTCGACAAAAAATTTGCTTTCAGAGGGAAATTTGATAATCCATTTTCATATTGCATTTCACGTTGTTTCTAAGTAATTAATTCCCCGAGGTAAATTTAATGCACAAAGTGAACTGGCAATATAAAGGCAAATCACTATAATTTTAGCGTTCGGAAATAATGTGAGAATTGTAGCCTTCCTACGCTGACTGCATACCGTGTGAGAGCAAAAACGTCACCGTAAAAAAACGAGTAAATTTTCACTCAAAATCTAAACATTTTTTTTTTTTGTTAAAACAGGTCTACAACCAATCATGTTGAACTAATAACCTTCTATATTGGTTTTTCACGGTATTCACCTAATATAACTAAAATCAGTTCTTGACTAAATAACTTTGAATTTACACTATCATATTTTTCTGTGCAGACACACTCAATGGCAGGCCTGACAAATTAAGAGTTAACAACAGAATGTGTGATCGTCATATGACTTGTGATAATAGAAGGAATTGTTAGTATACAAGGAAGAAATTTTCTGTGTATACTTAAAATTCCTCACGCCTACTTCCCCTATAACGCTCTAGTTACTTTCATTTGTTTTTTGAAATTAAACAGTTATTTCAGTAGGCATCGAAATGATGCCCCTGTGTAGGAGGTGAATAAAAAAGTCAGCAGGTATAAGAAATAGCTTTATTTAACATATCAATAGCAGCCTAACAGTAGAACTCTATGTTACTTTATAGTAATAAGCGTAAGGTTCGTATATGTACAAGGGATGGAAGTTCAAAAAGCAAATGTTCGTAGAAAAGGGGCTCAACTGTATGTTGGTCGCGGTTGGCGACGAACACACTAAATTTTTTACAAACTTTGCTTGGTTGCAACAAGACTTAATAATATTGCACTCATAAAAGTGTACACATACATCAAATTGTTATTTACACGAAATATACAGTCACTTTAGAGTTAACAGGAAATACTAAGGTTAGAGTCGAGAAGCGCCGTCTTATTTTTCGATAAAAATGGAGTTCTCAAATAGAAAAATAAGGCGGAGCAGAAAAAATTTCCGACAGCGCATATACAGTTCAGTAAAAAATAAGTATTACTTCAAAACTGGTATAAGTGTGTGTAGGCCAGTATCTGTGAATTTTTTCTAGTGCTTTTGGGATATGGCTTTGATTGAACACATCTGTAGATTCCGATTTTTGTTTGAGAAAATCATAAAATCTTATACATTTAAATACTTTTCAGCCACTAGATCTGTAGAGGTTCATCATTAAATACTGATTTTTCAAATTATATAATTATGCTTTATTGAAAAATTCACAAACTTAGCACATATAGAGCCAAATCTGGACAAGGAGTAAGTATTTAGCGATACAGGTATGATATTTTTCACATTTATACAAATAAATACCCTGTATATTACTTACGGTTACTCAACATATATACATTGCTTGAATATGTACATGATCCTACCAATATTTACAACTTTAATGTCATAGCAATTCATCCAAACTTCAACTTGCCTTATTTATGTATTAATTATTTCAATTCTTTTAGCCTATTCTAAGTTTTTTAATATTGTACTTAAACAGCCCATATCTTACATAATATGTCTTTTTGACCTTATTTTAGTAAAAATGAGAACGTATAAAAAAGCTAAATAAGGGTTACCTAAGTTCAAAACCATCACAGAAAGTTGCTTGNTTAGAAAAGAACCTGATTTTTCTGGAAAACTGTTAAAGATAAGTATGGACAACCTTATATCATTCGAAAGGGCATTCAATTTTGCATTCACCCATGAAAATTAATATGGGTCATTACATTTGAAAAATAATTTTTTTCAACTCGTAATTTTATTAAATGCAAGTCTCAATATTTCCAAGTCTGAATAACGTACACGTTTTGCTCACAGATGAAAAGATAAAGTAATTTATGCCAAAATGAACTGTGAAAACTGCAGGTTTTTAACTCTTATGATTTAGATGCTATTAATTGTTTTTTTTTTTCAAAAACAACTGATTATCTCGAAAACGGTAAGTTTTAAACGCCATGTACTTACATTTAATAAACTCTACCTAATATTAACTCAGCAATGCAAAAACGCAATAATATACAGGGTGTTCCATTTAAAATAACAAAGTTATATAGCGCCAATGCGAAATGTAACACCCTGTAAAGCTAAACATTTTTTCTGTACATGGGCCACATGATTCCAGGCAACTTTTAAAACAATTTATTTATAAATTTTACAGTTGCAGAGTTACAGAAGAATCCCTCTTAGATGGAACACCCTGTATATGTTTAGGACCAATAAACGTGTTTCTTTAATTCTTTACAAAATTTTAATCACTTGGAACAGAAAAACGGTTTGATTCATTAACTTGTCAATTTACAGGGTTGTGTCGGTAAATTGAGTTGTAAAAATTTCTCTAAATATTATAAATATTTGAAAATTAGCGGTAAATTTTCTAAAAAACTATAAAAAGTCATTTTTTTAAAATTCCAAATTGATGTACTTCAAATTGATGCCAATGATGAAAAAATTCTTGGCAGGTACAATAATTTCTTGCAGAGAAATCGATGATTAAAGACAAAAGTGTTATTTTTCATTCAACCATCGATATTTCGGCGACCAATGGTCACACGAAGACCTTTCAAAAATCAAATTGAAGCTGAATAAGCAAGCTAATTAACCTCTGTAATGAATTAGTGTGAAAAAATTTTC